CTGATGTATATGCCTATGGAAATTTTGCTTAATTTGAGATGCAAAACAAGTTTTACTTTAACCTACATAAATATGCAGATTTTTGTCTATGTATACTTGATACAAATTCGAAGAAAAAATTACCATATCTCCCGTTTGGACTGCTGATAATAGTTATTGCATTGAACACAGAACATTTGCTGTGTAAAACTATCATTTTCAAGCGTTTCTCATAAATTATCGATCTTAGAATATGAATGTCTTTTTTGCTTATAGTGAAAGGTTAATTATATTTTATTAAACAGGCATCAGAATAACTGAAATATAATCGATATTTGAAATATGCAAATTACAAAGTGTGACATTGTTCCTTTATTTCAGAATAGGTTAAAAAAAGAATAAATGCAGTTGTAAGCAGAGTATGGTGTTATCTGTGAACAAACAAAAAGAAATACATTTATTTTTGAAAAATGGCCAGTGTTGATATTTATCTCTTAAGAATATTACGCTACTCATTCACTACTATTTATAATTATATTTTTAACCTTTTTTGTAGAAAGTAGAAACATAGCCAAACGCATAAGGATATGAAATATTATTTATGAAGATTACTATCCATGTGCTGACCAATGAAATCAATATTACTGTAGAAGACGGAACAAATCGTCAGAATTCACATGCGTACATACATGTTTAACGCATTTATGAGCACAAAAGAGACCTCACAAAAAACAACTTAGCTAATGCATTAGTCATACATAGAAATAAATTCAACCATAATTTTGATTTTAAAAATGCTACACTCATAAAAAAAAGAAAATAAACTCACTCAGAAGGAAAATTCTAGAGAGTGCTGCCATAGAATATTACCCAAATTTTAATCTACGCCCAGGTTTTTTCCCCATTTCACCTTTCTTAACAAAATTACTGCTCTTACAAACAAATATACACAACAGATTCATAAAATCAAAAGAAAATGGTTGAATACATCAACACAGATATAATGACAATATTCTCCACACGTGACAATTACCGACGTTATTTTCAGTTAAAAATATGAAAAACAGCGTTTCTCTACATTCCAGTTGCTAGGTACATTCTGTTTTTATTAGTTACATTGTTCATTTAATTTCATTTTCGTATTTTGCTTTGATAAAGTCCACATTGGACGAAACGCGTCAGCAATTACCAGTTTTCCTATTGTCATTTTTATTCATAAATACATGTTTAAATATATTTTTTTATTATTATGTTATTTACGATCACAGTTAGAATAATAATGTGAACATCATTTCAGTTCTAAGATGTTTTGTTTTGAATCTTGGAGAAGACGCTAAATATCTAATTTAATGAAATTATATGACATGTATTTTGATTAAGATGTTCGGCTCGACAAACAATCGAATATTTTTCATTTTGAGTAATCTTGTAAAATAATTCTAATTTTTTCCAGTCCGTGAAAATTCTGTCATATCACCCACCACATAGCTAAATCAAAAAAAAATTGTAACCGTTTCGGTTATAATTAAATCGTTTGTATTCATTCTTTTACGTCTAAAATCGTCTGTTTCTACTCATTCTTTGAAACACAAAATCGTCTGTTCTGATTCTTCAACGTAAAAAATAGTCTTTTCGATCTTTTACGCCTAAAATCATCTGTATTCATTCTTTTACACGTAAAATCTGTTTTGCGTCTTTCATGGAGAAAATTAATTCTTTCGTGTGAGATAAATCTATTAAATTCATTAATTAACAGATATCATATTTATATTTAATTCGTGTCGCAAGCAGTGTTTTCGATATTGGACACATTTGTATTATCATGATATTCCAAATTACTGATTATTAATTACCGATTACTAATTACTGATTAATAATTACATAGAAATACGACATCTGCTAATGAATTAAATGGATTTATTTGACACTTACGAGTGGTTTATCTGCGAAACTTGAAAACTGAAAGATAGGTTTTTTGAACTTTTCTTTATATAATATCTAGATAGAAAAAATATGAAGAGACTGAGACAGATAACTCAATCTGTTAAGGGCCATCACATGATACATGTTTCCTCCAATAGGTTGACGTTTCTTTATGCGGTAGACTGGTAGACAATCAAGGCTAAAGAATCCAATCTGTACTGCTATTCAATCCATAGCTAGGGGAGGAGAAGAGATGGATTCATACCTTTCCTAACGGTTTTTGTGCGAAAGTGAATGTAACGAACTCGACTAGAATTCGAACTTAGTTCTCTGATCCCTCAATCCGAGCTACTATCCATTACTCCACCTCGAGCGATAAAAGCGCAGTTGAGAATTACTTTAAAACATAATGCATGAGAACAATTGCAATTTTTAATTGATTTGGTAATATAAGCCAGAAGCCAGAAGTCGGCAAACCTTTTGCTAACTATGTACTGACTTAGGGTTTGCCAACAGCATACATATTTTTTCATACAAGGTCAGTATACCTGTTCTACGATATGTTTTATATAGCAATATATACAATAATATGTAAACCGCATTAATAGAAATAAACTGTTTTTTAAAGTTTTTTTTCTTAGCAGCAGACCTAGCAATTGATTCAATATAATCTTTCCTCTTCATGTCAGTGGGAAACGTTAACCCAAAAAGGCGTAGTGAGTCATTCATCAGGAGGTTAGCATCAGCCATGTTGACGGAAGGGTTTCTCTTAGATCAGGGCAACATTTTACTAACTATGTGTCGACTTTGGGTTTTAAAATCATTCAGTGTGCCAACAGCATACATATTTTTATACAAGTGGTACGCGTACCTTAGGTTGCCGACCCCTGGAGTAGAATATAGAGAAGAATAATCCATATAGGATATATATTGTAGATGTTATGGTAAAGTTGGCATTTTCCTTCTGAGGAAACATTCGGTGTTCATTGACTGAGCAACAAGTTGAAATATAATCAATATTCAATATAATCTTTCCTCTTCATGTCAGTGGGAAAAGTTAACCCAAAAAGGCGTAGTGAGTCACTCACCAGGAGGTTAGCATCAGCCATGTTGATGGAAGGGTTTCTCTTAGACCAAGGGTCGGCAACCTTTTGCTAACTATGTGCCGACTCCATTGCGTTGTAGTAGTTATTGCTTTGGATTTCATGATGTCATTTGCAGCTGCGTGCCATTGGCAACTGCTCGGCGTGCCACATGTGGCACGCGTGCCGTATTGTTGCCGACCCCTGATATAAACTGCGTGATATTTATGCTCAAAATGATATCAGAAAGAGCGATACAAAATGATGTATACTTATGTTTTATAGATTATGCAAAAGCGTTTGAAAAAGTACATTATAAAGAACTGCTAAGTAAGCTTGATTTATTTGGGAAGCATATTAGAATAATCCAAAATTTAAATTGGAAGAAAACCGCCTGCAAACCGGATAGAAAATGAATTCAATAAATACATAAAAATAGAAAGAGGCGTGAGACAAGAATGTATTATTTTCACTAGACTTATTCAACCTTTACAGTGAAACAATCCTGAGAGAATTAAAAGTCCGACTAAAATTCATTATTTACAGCCAGGATCTTAACAACATTAGATATGCAGATGACATAGCGTTGATAGAAAACACAGAAAGAAACTGCAGGAACTCCTACAGAAATTAGTAAATGAAAGTGAGAAAAAAGGACTATCTATCAATTGTAATAAGAGAGAATGTATGATTGTCAGCTCAATAAACAAATGACAAACTGAAGATACTTCACAAGCAAATTCTAAGACTGGTGTGACATGGATTCCTACCTTTCCCAAAGGTATTTGCGCGTAAGTGAATGTAATGAACTCTACTGGAATTCGAACTCGGCTCTCCGATTTCTCATTCCATGCCGATACCAGTTTTAAACTGTATTTCATGCAAATTTATATGTGAAATAATGTATGTTGATTCTGAACTCAAGTGGGTGCGTGCGGGTGTAAACATAAGTAAAATTATCTAATATATAAATATAAATCGTCTGTTTGTGTGTTCGGGATTTTCTTAAAAAATTAAGAATTTGACTCATAAAATCATATCTAATCTGGATTAGTATCTTCAAGGGGTTATTTTTATTTGGACATATCTTATCATCATCTAAATTGAATCCTCAAAACCGTAAATAGTTATGCGTTATTAAAACTGTACAACTTTAGATTATTAATAATTTTCATGAGTTGTAGCTGTTCTAAATTCTAAAATTTTACAATCACACGACTTTTTTACAACGGTCATCAGTTTAACGAAAACGTCAGTTTAAAGAAAAAATATGGGTTAATATCGTTAATTATATAATTTTATAACTAATATCGATAATGTATTACATTTTACAAAGCTAACAGATTATTTTAATTTAAATTTTTTATTTAAATTTGTTCTAATCGTGGCTTAGCAATAGAAATTAAGTAACCAATACATGGAATTTAAATCTGGTATTTTATTATTCTAATTACCTTTTCCGTGAAATCATTCAAATTTTCAAACGTTTTATTGGACACTTGTTATAAAAACACCTTTTTTATGTTTGTTGAATTATGCAAATTCTAGCACAGCGCAGAATTTGTAAAATACACAACAAATTCACTGTCAAAGATTTGAAGAGTTAAAAACCTAATCATTGCTCCATGAAATTTTGGTTAACTGCGTATGTTAATTCCCCATTAAAACTTCATTTTTTTTTTTAAATTATTTCTCATGATTTATTTCTGACTGAAAATTTCTGCATAAATTAACAGACATTATACTTCCTTGAAAGGCAAATATATAAAATCGACTGTTTATGCTAATGTTTTAATAAAGTTCATGTAAAGGTAATTCATTGTGGTAACATGTTGTGGCATAGATTTTAGCTTTGAAAAATATGCCGTTTTGATGTCGTACAATTCTCATTATGACATTGTGATTATCTGTATATTTTTCTCATTCTTGTAGATTTTCAGCGCGAAAATGTATGTCGGTTTTGTTTTACTGGTTCTAGTCCTGTTTCCTCATTGCACCATCTCTAGTTACGCAGACATGCCGCCAGAAATCAAAACCGGTGACCCAAAAGATGAACACGGAGGAATAAAGATGGGAATACCCTCAGACTACTGCGATAATGCAAAGGTATTTATTCTAATTTAATTTTTTTTGTCTTTATTCATTTTTATTTCCACACATATTTTTCCTGTTATCTTTTTACCCCTTTTATCTTTACTTCTTTCGCTCTCAATTTTACTTCCACAGATCATTTTATCATCTTTTCTCTTTCACTTTTACTTCTCTGTTTTTTTTCTAGTTTTTTAATATCTTTCTTTTTTGTTAGTTTTTCTTCCATCCATATTCTCCTCCATTTTTTACTTCCATCTTTTTATGTACTCATCTTCATGACATTAACTGTTGTACGTCACCATTCATAGACCTTTATATTGGCGGACTGTTAAATGTCTGCGCACGCATATATCTTGGCGGCCATTTAAAATGATACCTTGTTTGGGTTTTTGTTTTTTGTTTTTTGTTTTTTTTTTCATATAATAAACTATAATTTTTAACTATAAACAATAATCATTGGTTATAATTTTAGAAAGTAGAAATTTCATTGAAATATGTTAGAAATTTTCGATGATTTAATCTGAAATCAAGAAACTACGAACTTTAAACAAAATGGTGACCATATGGATATATGGAAAAAAGTCATTTAAACCCATATTCTCCCGGTTTCAGTTTAAACTATTTTTTCTCTATATATATATATATATATATATATATATATATATATATAAACTGTAATTATAAAATATAATTTTTTAAGGTAAAAATTTCACTTAAATATGTTGGAAATTTTCCAAGTTTTCATCTGAAATCAAGAAAATACAAAATTTATGCAAAATGACCACAATATATAGAAAAATGAAGATGTCGGTTTAACCCTTATCTTCTAGGCTTTGGTTTAAACTGACACTTTCTTTTTCCATATGAATCAACCATGAGTCGGAAACCCCCGACACTCGGGCCATATCCGATCCACAAAGGATTGTTGTCTGCTCCGTCAACTTAACACCTGGGCAGTAATTATCTAATTAATTTATGAAGCAAGTGACAGAAAAAAATTACAGTTACAATGCGACGATTTTTTTAAGCCAAAATTTAATCCCGAATCCACTGCTGACTTCTACAAAAAATATGTTTTGCCAAATGAAAAATATAAAAACCTGTTGAATAATACGAAAATAATGGTACCATATGCTTGTGAGCAACTTTTTTCGAAAATGAAATATATTAAAAGTCGTTTAAGAAAAATATTGGGTGATGACTTAATGAATTTGCATTTTTTGTTAATTGTGTTAGTTGTTATCCCGTTATTCGTGTAATAACATAAGGTATTTTGTTTGAATAATATAACATTAACTTCATTGTTTTCTTTAAAGCTCCAGGCCAAGACAGCCTTCTGGGCGGAACGGTCTGAAGTCGAGACAATTTACATTTGATATCATGGCCCTTCTCCGAGACACTGAATACCTTTTATGGCTGCTCTAACCAAAAGGTTTCCGACCTCTTGTCTAAACTATAATTTTTAAAGTAAAAATTTCACCAAATATTTTGTAAAATTACCGTTTGCATCTGAAATGAATGCAGAAAGCACTACATTTAAAGTTTTTAAACAAAATGCTCACAATAAATTAAAAAAAAAAGACAGCGTCTGACCCAGAAAGTTATGCATTGGTCTTAAACTGTATGCAGATTTGACGCAGGCGCGTTTTCATTTGTTCCAAATGTAACTGAACATTATTTATTTATTTATTTTATTTACTTATTTTTATTTAGGCATTTTTTTTTATTTTTGCTTATTCATTTATTTTATTTATTTATTTTTATTCACATTTATTTATCTTTTATTTAGCAAATTTTATTTATTTATTTTTTATTTATTTATATTTTATTTAGTACATTTTATTTATTTTTATCCATTTATTTTTACTTATTTATTCTTATTATTTATATTTTTTTATTTTTTTATTTATTTGGTTATTTCTATTTATTTATTTTCATCCATTTATTTTTATTTAGCTATTTTGAGTATATTATACATATCTAAGTGATATATTTTGTTGCTGAAGAAACTCCATTATATATAATCAAATTACCATAGAATTTGCTGAATTTACTTAGGTCAATTACTTTTATACCAGTTTAAAAGTAAAATCCTCTACTTTTATCTGATATAAAGAAAGTAAACGTTTGTAAACGTAATAAAAGAAAAGATAAACAAAACCGATGTGCAAACTCAGTTGTTTAATACTTGTAGTGCCTGTGAAGACAAACTTTATAATATTCAAATGCATATTTTAATTTTAAGAAAATATTTTGAGTTTGTATAAGGCTGAGATAAAGTAAAAACGTGACCTTGTAAAAATATTCAACTAGTACGCAAAGAAAAAAAGAAAGGAAAGGATATAGTTTTAATTAGTATATTTGAAGGTCATTTAAAAGTTTTACTGAAATTTCAGTACAGTGTAACCCGGATATAAGAGAGTTGTCGGGACCGGAAAAGAAGTCTCTTATATCCGGGTTTCTCTTATATCTGGGTTTGGTCTATTTTATATGCATTAACAAAGGCTCTAATTTGGGACCAGAGAAAATCTCTCTTATATCCGGGTTTCTCTTATATCCGGGTCTCTCATATCCGGGTTACACTGTATATCTACCGCATGGAAACAAGCATGTATTTTCTGCATTTATTACAAATTTCGATTTGACTTTCTCTGGTCGTTTGCAATCATGAAACTTTTTGTAAGCCTTTATATACTATAAATTCCTTTTTCTGAATGTTTTAGTGGACGGGACTTCTTTTCAAAAAATAGCATATTAAAAACAAAAGTATTAGAGACTTACAACTGACATTGAGGATTAACACTGCCGCCTGAAGGTGTGACGTCATCAAATATTAACTCGATAAATCGACGAATTGAAACTTTTTTTTTTGTTCCTAAAGCTTTCAAGATAAGGAAGCCAAGTTCATTGAGTTTATAAAAAATAACTTTTGTAAGATACTTTCGTATTTGTTTTAAAATTAAGATTTTTTTGTCTCACTTGACAACTTTTTTCTAATTCTTGAAAACTTTAAAGAAATTTCGCAAATAAATGTTTGTTTTGTCTTTATTTTTCCTCTATTAACATATCTTTAAATGTGAAAAGATACGTTGCTTAGTATTTTAAGACTGTAAGACCCAGGAATCACTCGAGGCACGGTCTTAATGAGTAAGAGGTACAGTTTATGCGGATATGTGAAGAAGATAACGGTTCACACTAGAGTTGATCGGGAAAACGTCCTCTTGGGAGGTCTGGCGTGGTCTGGCGGAGATGGCATAGGGACGAAATTTATTGAGAGTTACAAAGAATAGGGGGAAGTGGAGAGCCATGATCGCCTACGTCCTGAAAGAACATGGCACATAAAAAGGTAGAGGAAAAAAGAAGAAAAAATATGCATGATGTACGTGGAGGAATTTGGACAAAGCATCTTGGAATATGAAAAAGGCGAGAAATCTGGGCAGTTTCAATACAAGAGAAACGGGGAAGATTTTCTTATTTCAATTTATTTGATTTTTTTTCCGTACCTGGTTTTATTTACGTATTTATTTTTGAATGTGTAGTGTATATAATGGCTTGTAACCATCTTTTGCTAGCATGAACAGTCGCTGACCAAGATTAGTACTGAATATTGAATTATTTGTACGTATCTTTTTCCAAATATCCTGTACATTTTTCACCAAAAAAAGTTAAAATACTGATCATTAGACAAAAGTTTGTTTTAACTTAGCAGTTGTACATGGGAAGGGAGATAATTGGAACGAGTGTTGAAAAAGTGGTAATTAGGGAAGTTACCCTTCTGTTCGATTTTACCTTCATAGAATATATCGCAACTGATACAAGTTAAAACATAATAAAATTTAATCTACTGGGTATCCCCTATTTTTCCTGTTTAGGATTGGCTTTCCGGTTCATTCTAAAGTCTACTTCAGCTCTATACTTCTAACGTCTCCGCCTAGACTCTGAGATTTTATTTACTGATTATTTACTTTTTTTCTTTTTCCCTCAATAGGAGTAGATAGGTTCGCTTATTGTCCGTTCACTCTGCTTTCCAGTTTTTTGGGCAGGAGTAGAGGTTTATCCTTTGTTTCTTGTTTAGGATTGGTTTCCGGTTCCTTCTAAAATCTTTTCCTTCTCTTTCTCTTCTAGTAGCCCTTGCATTTTAATGGCATTATCATCTTGCTTGGGGTGAATTCATTTTTTAAAAATTACAGGACAGACTGGAAACTATAGCTTTGGTTGAGATAAAACTCTGAATTCAAGCCACCCTGGAGAAGGTTAGGCTCGTCAGACTATCTTGCCCCAAACATGCTACCATTGCTATGGTTGCAATGCATATGTAGTGCCCCCTACAACCTTAACTCGTGATCGTGAGTGACTTGTACTTCAATGTTTACCCCAATATCACAATATACAATCACAATCAGTATAATAAGAATTAATAAAAAACAATATTTATTAAAACTAAAAGGCGGGAATATGGAACAATATCAGAATTAAGAAATTAGAATAAGAGAAAATGTAAAAATAAGATTGCCACTACGTTTCCATGAGGACCCACGACTAGACTTAAGGAATTGTTTAGCAAATGCATATCTCTTATGGACACTGTGGTACTTCAATTGTACCAGACGTTAATAAATATACAAAGTTGAAAACAGAAGACTTCGTTTTTTCTTTCTTTCTTTTTTTTTTTCCACAGACAATCTTTTCCTCTATCGAACACAGCAGCTTCGAACAACGTCGACAGGTCATCTATTGAAATTGAATTGAATAAATTTCTATTTACCTGATTCACTAAATACTGTATATTATCGACCCGTTTGCTATTCTTCACGAGTATCATTTATTTAATTTACTTTTCTTTATTGAAATGTTGATTTTAAAAAAAAGTTTACGTTCTTTCAGGACTTGATTAATGTTGACTGGAACGATTCCAAAGAAGATTACACGTGTTATTCAGGAAAGATTGTTCCCAAATCTAAGGTAAACTTTTAAATCGTTTATTCACTCAGCAATTTTATTTTGGATATTCTCTAAGATTCTGACACTGAATGACACTTACTCTTTGAATGCAGCAAACTAAAAATTATTGTTAAATCATCTGTTTCTGTAGTTGTAGTTTGTTTTACAAAAAAATATACTAATTTTTATGAGGTCAAACCAGAATAAGGCTGTTATAAAAATTATTTATTGCATTTCTGTCAGCCGTTGCAACAATCTTTCTTTCGTTGTTTCTTTGTTTGTTTGTTTCTTTCCATTATAATAACCATTCTGTCCAAATTCTTTGGTAATTAATGCTAACCTTTATATGTTATAGTCTTCTGTATCACTTGAATGTCTTTCTTTCTTTCTTTCTTTCTTTCTTTTCATTATAATAATCATTCTGTCCAAAAGTCTTTGGTAATTCATGCTAACCTTCATATGTTATAGTCTTCTGTATCACTTGAATACCTTTCTTTCTTTCTTTCTTTCTTTCTTTCTTTCTTTTCTTTTCATTATAATAATCATTCTGTCCAAATTCTTTGGTAATTAATGCTAACCTTTATATGTTATAGTCTTCTGTATCTTTTGAATGTCTTTCTTTCTTTCTTTCTTTCTTTCTTTCTTTCTTTCTTTCTTTCCACCTTTCTTTCTTTCTTTCTTTCCGCCTTTCTTTCTATCCACCTTTTTCATTATAATAATAATTCTATCCAAAATCTAAAAAAGAAAGAAAGAAATCTTTGGTAATTCATGCGAACGTTCATGTTACTGTCTTTCGTATCAATCTATCTTATCTTTTGTTGTTCAAGTTATTCCCAAGTACGAATTTACATTGAAGAATGTGATTGTTTGGCTGTAATGCAGATCATAAAGGCTATAAACCAATTCTACCTCGAATAACCATTAATGTGCAACTTTGGAGTCGTGTCGGGGAAGATCCAGGGATGTGTGATCCATACAACATCAAGACAGTAATTTTCCACTTTTCGCAAACACCTCACCAAAAATTAAACAGTTTTGAGTAACCGCGGAGCACCTGACTAACGACAGACGAGCGAGTGGGTTTCGAATAGAGAAAGAGGATTAACAAACATTACATAAGAATTTCTAACAGACATTAGATTTAAGACTAAAAAAATCGACTTTCTAAATGACACGGTCTAGTAGTGGTTAAAACTCACGTAGTTCACTGGAAGTGTGGAATTCAATATTTGCGTGAGAAATATACATCAACTCACTGAAGCAACACTATAGGGAAGATTTGACAGTTAGTTAAGATATCGGACATTAAAGAAATGGAAGCAGCTTAAATTGATTAATCAATTGATTAATCAATTCAAAGTATCCATTCAAAATTTATGGAAGTTTATCAATTCAAAACAACAGGAATATTATGAGGCACGGAAACTGGTTTGAACGAATAACTATATTTCCTCATGTCTTAGAAATTGAACCTTACTTATTTACACGTGACATTTCTTCTTCTATGTGATCATCTCTTCAGAACGTGGGTGATCATGGTTCTCCACCACTTCCTGTCACTTGTAGCTCTTAACAATGCTTATTTTTTCTTTTCTTTTTTTGCTACCTCTCCTAATCCTTGTTCTACCAACCATTTACATAAGCTCGTTATGTAGGCGATTCGCTGGATTCCTCTGCCTGTCTAGGCTTCAATAAGTCCTGTGAGTCTCAATTTTTCCAAGCCATCTAGAAATACCCTAGAAATTTCAACTTTATCTTCCTGATTATAAGTATAAATTTCCCTTTTATTTCCCTTTTTCCTTAAAACTTTGTCGCTGCTCACATGATAAGTCTATGGTATTATCAACATCCTTCTGTAGAGACATATTTCCGTTATTAAAAAATATCTGAATTTTCTTATAGAGGAATCTTTTAAAATAATGAACGTAACCTCTGATGAAATAAACACCGTATGTTTTTTTTCTGAAATAGAATCATTATTTGAACATTCATATTTTAATATTATCATATTGAGATTGGATATGTGGATAACTTTCGTCAGTGTGGTAAGTGTAATCGCAAGCCGTGTTCCAATTCTGGGTTATTCTGTTGCAGTCACTTTCGCACTATGCCCTCACAAGCTACAAATTAACTAGTAATTTAGACACAGCACTCTAGTACGAGGTGACAATCAGTCTAAAAGAAGTTAATCTCTGAATTCGAATCTGTAAAGAAGAAAACGGGAAAACACTTTACTATCCTGCCCAAGTCATGACAATCCACACATATTAAAGAAAAAAAATGTTTGGAATCAGGATCCCCTACATCCCGGCGAAGTATAATATCAAAAAATTACTACGGGTCTCTTTTTTACTTTCGGTATATAATTATATTGTATATGTTGAAATTTTTTACTTGATGTGTGTAGCGTAACGGTTATCGGCGTGGAAACTGGGATTGGCTTTTGATTTAGATTTGGATTTGGGGTTTACTTTGGTTTTAGGATTGAATTTGATTTGGGATTTACTTTGGATTTGGGATTGGCTTTGGATTTGGGATTTACTTCGAATTTAATATTGGTTTTGGATTTGGGATTTACTTTGAATTTGGGATTAACTTTGGATTTACTTTGGATTTGGGATTTGGGGTTTAGTTTGGGATTGGCTTTGGATTTGGGATTTACTTTGGATTTGGGATTGGCTTTGCATTTGGGGTTTACTTTGGATTTGGGATTGGCTTTGGATTTGAGAGTTTAAATTCCAACCGAGACATTTACGTTCATTTCCGTACAAACGCCTTTACGAATGGATGAATCTATCTATTCTCTCCCCCAAAACTGTGGATTAAATAGCAGGATAGACTGAGCTCTCTAGCCTTGGTTGGCAACCAGTCTAAGAGAAAGATATCTTTGGATTGAAAACAAATTGGATATATAGCTAGCAATTCTTATTTATCTATGTCTTCAAGACGATGGCGATAATGACTCTCAACGATTTACTGTCTTTTTTATCTCTTAGTAATTTTTGTATAATCCTAATCCTAATCTGTCATCCATTTACACAAGCTTTTTAGGTAGGTTATGCGCTGCTTTCACCTGCCCCTCTTGCCTGTAATTGGTCTTGTGAGTTTCAAATTTCCAAACTCCTCTTTCTTCATTATGCATCCTAGAAACTATCTCTTTCTGATGTTCTGCCTTTTTTGTTTACATTTCCTCTAAAATTTCTTCGTTACACATGTTCAGTTCATAGTATTCTCAGTATCCTTCTGTAGAACCACATTTCTGCTGCCTGAAGTCTCTTCTTCATCCATGGGGATGTGACTAGCAACACCATCCTACAAAAATCTTCTAGCTATAGAAGCCACAGAAGCAATATCTACTATGGTGAGGTCGCTACTCTATACTCTACAGGGATCTTTACAGGGTTAATATGCAACATAATACATACATTTCTTTACTTATAATCTGTTACCATGGAGGGTGAAATCCATTTGTTGACTGTATCATGCTAGTAGTGGATTAGTCAAAGAAAGAAAGAAGTAAAAATAACGATTCTTGAGATCAATTTATTTAAAAATATTGAGCCATAAATGTTTAGAACCAATGTAGGTAAAGGCTGTTACATATGAAAAAAGAATTGACCAAAGTAATTTTTTAGTTTGCTTGCAGGTAAATTAGAAGATTGTTTTTAAACACAACACCATTAAGAATGGTCTTGTTTGAATGATTTTTCAGAACAAAATTACAGAAACAGTTGACCCTCATGAAGAAAATGTGAGTATAATCAATTTCTTTCTCATTTTTCATTTTTTTCTTCTTTTTTTCATTGCTAATTCTGAAAATACCAACTGCGAGAATTTTCTTATGAAACAATGTAATTAAAAAACTGGAAGAAATTCGGTTGATACAGAGTTATGTATGGGGAAATTGTATGATAAAGTAGAAAAAGTTTACTTGTTACACGTTTCGTCCTTCAGACTAAATTTGTTACGTTGGTACGACTACACATGCGCACGAGTCTAGCTGTTGGTAGAGAGAGCTTTTTCTTTGATTGTGTTAGATGTTTTTTTAGGAGGTTTAAGCATTTTTCGACTGAGACGTTGGTTTAGAGGGATTTGGCGTTTGTCAGCCATGTTCATTTCCCTTAGTTTTTCAACTAAGCTGCCTGAGTTCTTTATATGAGATGAACTAATTGTTCCAAGGAGAGGGGCTTAGAATTTTTGTTATGGCTTTCACCAGTTTATGGGGAGCACCGTCTATTCCTGAGATAATGGGTAGTATTGGGATGCCAGTTTTGTGGAGTTTAGAGAGAATGTAAAGTTTGGGTGTTCTGGGGTGATATTCTATGAGTCTATAAACGATTTGTTTTTATTTTTAATTAGTTTTCAGATTTCCTTGTTGAATTTTTGTGTTTCTGAAGTTATTTTTTGTTTGTTTATTTCTTCGTATGTGTCGGTATGGTTGAATAGCGAGTTAATTTTTTCTATGTCTGTATTCTCGTTCATAATCAAATTTCCCCTCCCTTGTTAAAAGGAAGCGATGGGGATTTCCTTATTTGTCGCTAGGTTCTTTAGTGCATTCATGTGTCTTAGTTGTAATGTATTTAGTTGTTGGTTTCTATATAGTAGCAGTGGTTATACCTTGAATGAAATCTTTGGTGAATTCGGAGTCATCTTGCTTATGATTTTGTTTACTATAGTGTCTAGTTTGTCTCCTTTGCGGATTCCGGTGGCAAATTTTAAACCGAAGCTGAGGGCTGTTCTGTATTGGAAAACGTTATATCGGATAGATTTTCTGTTAGATTAGGCTTCCCAATATATTTCCACTTGCTGCTGTATAGTGAATGTTTGTCTCAGTTTGTTGTTTTGATTGTTGCTCATTTGTTTAATAGTTTGGTGGAGTTTAGCCATTTCCAGCTTTATTAAAACATACTTTTTATAGAGTTGCATTCCAGCAGATAGTTTTTCCAACACTTTTAGGTCTTCGGCTGATGATTTTAGGAAATCGCATGCGTATTTTTGAAAAATATGATGTGATGTTCTAATAAATTTCTATTCCCATTAAAAAAATAAAATAAAACCCGGCATAATCATCGGGTTCTGCCTAAAAGCATTAAGAATATGCAGCTCGGATTATTTACACGAAGACGAGAAATATATTGAAAACACTTTCAAACTTCTCCAGTACCTTAAATATTTTATATTCAATTCGAAAAGGCGCACAAGATATTCCAAAATAAAAAACGGCCCCTCCTGAGAAACCCAATGAATAAAAAAAATATAATATCCTGTCTACTAATTCTCACATCTACAATCGAAAAGAATTTATCTAAACCTAACATAATAGTTGTTACTAATACATCCAAAACAATAAAAGACTTAGTCAATACTAAACAAAACAATAAAACCTAAAGGAGGAGTTTACTCCATTGCCTGTAATAACTTTTACAAAATATACATAGGAGAAACCTCAAGGAATCTAAATAAAAGATTATTTGAACACAAAAGCGAAATTTTCAAAATAATACATCAAATGCGTTGGTTGTCCACAGTGACGAGACTGACCACAACTTGGCATAAAAAATGCTACTCTGATTAAAGGCGAAAATAATTCACTACAACGTAAATGTCTAGAGAGTGCTTTAATCGCAAAGTCATCTACAGTACATTTGCAGCCTGTCTATTACAACCTTTCATAATTCCTGGCGAATTTTCTAATATCACAGTGTGGAATACATATTTACAAAAGTGATGGAAAATAAAAGAAAAAGACTCTAAATGAATTCGGCTATATAAAAAAAAATTCTAAAATTCCTTGCACCCTTTTGTTATGCACATGTGTAGTCGCATCAACACAACAAATTTATTCCGATGAAGTCCTAAAGAACGAAATGCGTTGCAAGTAAACTTTTTCAATTTGTCATATAATTTCCTCAACATTTTTCTTGATACAGAAAAATACATATCTCGGAGTTATTGAGGCATTAAAATAATTTTATTTGTATCTAATTTTTTAAATAATCAGTTGAATTGTTTCATTCATCATTCTTTTCAATTTATGCAATAATATCTTCAAATGATTAATAATTTGTAAGTTTTCTACTTTCTAATGAAATTAGTTTTTACATTTATGTCCCATCGTATAAGCATTTACTTGGTTCGAGGATTGGTAAATAGTGGTCGTTTGGACTTGAGTCTGTAAATATTTACTCGGTTTCCAGGTAAGTAAATATCGATTGTTTATATTATTATAGTCTGGAAGCATTCACTTGATTCGTAGGTAGATATTTTTAATCATTTCATTTCAAGCATGGGCTTACTGAGTGTGAAAGAATATGAGGGAAATAAAAAAACATTATTAAAGAAAGAACATGTATTAAGAAGCCAAAAGATAAGAATTGACAATGAATTTTAAATTTTGAACATGAACATTGACTACAAAACTAGATTCATATTCTGGCTTCCATCCTCAAAGTCCTTTCAAGAACCATCAAGAGAATGGTGAATAAGTTTAAAAAAGGAAACAGTAGAGAGGAAAACTAGATCAGGAGGTCAAAACATGCAGAGGAACCATCTTTTCAACTGATTGAGCTAAAGAGATCAATTAGAAAAGATCCAACTCACTCCATAAGACATTTAGCACAAGAGAGAGGAGTTTCAGCTATGACAGTCCAAAGAGAAGTGACAAAAAGACTTGAAAATGAAATCGCACATGAAAACCTGTGAGGTTAAAAATTTAAAAGGTTAGAGAGTGCAAAATCATCTTGAATAAATTGGAAATTATCCTGTAGTAATATGTGTGTGTGTGTGCGTGTGTGTGTGTGAAACCTTCATGAGCTTCCGATCTTTAGCTATGATTAATTAATGATGAAGATATCATTTTCGTTTATGATCGATTTGATCACGATTCTTCTGTTAAGCTTGGAGTGTAATTATACATTAAAGTAGAGTCCAATAGTGTTATAAAAACCTCGGAGACGTCCACTAAGATATCTTTAATCATTTCTAAGATATAACGGTTCAAAGCTTAATCAAACAAATTGACAATTTTGCTGTTACATGATTTCAACAATTTTGTTGTTACACCAGATATAAGTTTGAGTCTGCAAGCATCTGCTTTATTCGGGGACAAATTAAATGGAATTTCCTTTTTTATCACACAGAAAAAAATTTCCTCTATATAAAAATGTCTTTCCTTCTGCCAAAACTATTTACAAGTAAATTACATATTGGTATGACTGAGCTATCGACAGATCCTAGAATACGCCAACTGCATATCCTGGAGGGGACCAACCCTCAACAAAATAAAAGACCACCTACCAGGTAAATGCTTGCAGACTCACATATAAACGACCAATATTTACCTATCCCCGAACAAATGTTTATAGACGTAAATATATTTTTAGAAAATAATTTCGACATTAAATAATCCATCAAGGGTTAACATGTAAAATCAACCTTCTTTTCTTTTCATGTGCCATGTCCTTTCAGGACGTAGGCGATCATGGATCTCCACCTCCCTCTATCCCTTGCAGCTCTCAAGAAGTTCCTTCCCTCTCCTTCCTCCCCCAGACCACATTCTGTTATCCACCTGCTCATGCCCGTCAGGTATGTCGCACGCTGATTTCCCTTGTCCCTCTTTCCCAAAGAGTCTATCTATATTTCTAGGATGAGGTATTAGGTACATTATTTACATTATTCGAACTATCGTCCTCATCTTTGTCACCATATTTATTACAACGTTTCGGCCGTTGTATGCTCCGGCCTTCTTCAGGTGGTTGGAATGTCGAACTGAACCATTTATTTCGCTCACTGGAGTAGACTGTTCTAGTTCCACGTGCCATGTTTGATGGATGTCAGTTATCAGTTATCTCCTGTTAATTTCCCTCTGAAAGTTCTCCACTGCCTTAACCGGGTATTGAACTCACACACTTTGGGTCCTGTCACTGGATCTAACCGACTGTGCCATGTGTCCTTGAGGACACCTGGGTATGAATTTCTGGGTATTATAAACCTAATGTCTTCAGCAACCATTTTTACCGGTACTCATATTGCAATTTTTGCTATTATCATTTTATGTTTTTACCAGAGCTCATATTACAACTTTGTTGTTATTGCTTTTCTCTGGCACTCCTTATTACTGGTTCCCATATTGTATTTATTTCTATGTTTGGTCGGCTCAGGAGATTTTTGTGACCTAGCATATGTGCTGATTCCTTAAGTTTACGAATTTTCCAATGGTGTTCCTTGTCTATGATCTCAACATGATCCCACAGAGGGCAGTGATCTCCCTTCTCTCTCCATATGTGGTCAGCCTGATTTTTCTACTTCCCCTCGTGTTACAGCCTTCTGGTGTTCTTGAAGCCTTACCTTGAGGGGACGGCCTGTCTCTCCTTTATATTCCTTTCCGCAGTTGCATGGGATAGTGTACACACAGTCTTTAGTCATGTTCTTCCTCTATGGGGGGTCTTACTCGGGAGAGATATCTGCGAAGTGTCGTCAAGCTTTTGAAGTTTGTCCTGATGTTATATGGACCGCAGATCCTTTGTATTTTTTCTGATAACCCCTTCACATAAGGCAGGCAGACTGTTTTCTGAGTGTTGTTGTCCTCCTCCTCTTGTACCCGCATATCCCAGTTTTTGGGAGCTGCTGCCATTTACCCAGGGTAGTTGTTACGTTGTAGGGTACTACTTATACTGACCAATTCTTTATCTAAAGTCTCTGGGTCGCCACTTATGACTTTTGCTCGGTGTTGTAAGCAACGGACGATCCCTTTCTTTACGCAGTGAGCGAAATAAAGGGTTCAGTTCGACATTCCAATCACCTGAAGAAGGCCGGAGCGTACAACGGCCGAAACGTTGGAATAATTATGGCGACAGAGATGAGGACGATAGTCCGAATAATGTAAATAATGTACCCTCTCTCCCTATATTCGATTTGTGATTATTAGATTTTCCAGGCCCTCCTTCCTCATTTTGTGTCCCTCTTTCTGATGTTAAGTATAAGCCTTCTCCTTATTTGCAACCTCTCTAAGACTGCATCTTTTCTCACATGCTCGGTCCATGATATTCTTAGCATTCCTCAGTAGAACCACATGGCCTCGAGTCTCTTCGTCATCTTTGAGGAAATCATCCAACATTCGCTTCCCTAAAGAAGGACAGATGTCACCTAACAGTTCAGTATTCTTTTCTTTGTTACCAAAGAAATCCTCCTGTCTCGCAATACTCTGCTCAGCTTTTGGAATGTGCCCTTGGTCATCCCAATACGCCTACGGATCTCAGCGTCGAACTTACCATCCTCTGTCAAGACGCTTCCCAGATATTTAAATTTCTGCGTCTGCTTTATTCTAGTGTTCCCGACCTGCAAATCGCATAACCCATTATTGTTATGATTACCCTATTTCAGTTTGTATGTACATCAAATGTATTATTATCATCGTCATCATCATAGTTGTTTCAATTTTTTTTTTTTTTTTTTGAAGGCACACTGCAATTCAGTGTGATTTCTCATTTTCAGCAACATCAGTCCTCTTCAAATCTCCATGTCTTGTGCCCTCTCACGGAATTGCTGCAGGTCTTCAAAACCCTCGAACGAGTTTACAGGGAATGATGGGACATCATTCATAGTTCATTTAATGTCAGTGTCCAGTGTGTATGCTATGACTGTTCGCCCCATATCTATGGATACTATTCTTCTATTTGATATTTGATTACAAAATCATTTTCATAAAAATGTACTGTTTTTTTTTTCAAAGCTATTAACTTGTGTTGCTTAACTTCAATATTAATATCTATTCTTTCTTAGATTTTGGTTTCTTGGGGACAGCATACATCAGTGTTATAACTATCAACGTTCTGAGCCAATAATTCGTCCGTCTTGGGTAAGACGATAAACTACATCTGCATCCTGGGTAAGACGATAAACTACATCCGCGTCCTGGGTAAGACGATAAACTACATCCAACAGCAAGGCAGGAGGTTTTGAGGAGCGTGGAACCACGTCTTCATTGCTGGTGTCCCCATATCCACCCTGACCCGGGGTGGTAGCGCCTGTTGGAGTCCCAGCTATGGGCAAGCAGTTAACTCCCAAACTATGAAAGTGTAGAAATGGGTTTTAATACCCCAGAGGTGCTTTGTAGAAAAGTTATTACCAGAAATAAGTTTTTGAAGAAAAAAATTATTACCAGCAATACATTTTTGAAAAAAGATGTTACCAGCTATACTTTTTTTTAAAGAAAAAATTACAAGTGATACAATTTTGAAGAGGGAATATTGCCAGAGGTAGATTTTTGAAGGAGAGAAGTTTTACCAGCAATACATTGTATAAAAAAAATATTACCAGCAATAAAAATCTTGTCGGCATTATATTACCAGCAATAAAAATCTTGTCAGCATTAAATAACCCATTGAGGTTGATATGCCGTAAAACAAAATAGACCAAACCAAACCAATAATTCGTGCCTTTTTTACCAAGTCTTCTAACATTAAATGTTCTGATGGTAAAATCTTTATATGCAGTTGAAAGGATTTACAAAGTTTTAAATAAGGAGTTGTCAATTTTTAACTGTTGACAAACGAAAAAGCCATGAACTTTTCTTTCAAAATATGTAATGCGACTTTTTTTTTCTTTTTTTAAGCGCATCTCAAAATTTTTAAATCAGAGAGCGAAAAGCATTTCTTCATCTGTTAATTCACAGCAGTTGCTAAAAGCAAATTCTTACTTGCTGTTTATTTAATTGGAATTATTCCATATGGAATGCGTTATAAATGTCAAAAAGTGTAAAAATGATCCCTTATCACAAACAGCATCCGTTCTTTTACTTTTTCCTTAATAATGCAAATATATATCATTCTGTATATTTTAGTATTTAATAAAGTGAAAAAAAGTTATTTCTTGATTATTTTATTTTAACAGCCAGTTCACATTTGTTTGCCAAATCCAATCAATTACAAAGAAGCCATACCGACATCGTAAGCTCTTTTTATCTTTACGTAAGATTTTACATTTTTACGTAAGATCTTTTTATCTCATTACATTTTAACGTAAGATATTTTTCTAATTACATTTTTACATAAGATCTTTTTATTTAATTACATTTTACATAAGTTTTTATCTAATTACATTTTTACGTAAGTTTTTTTTCTTATTACATTTTTACGTAAGATCTTTTTTCTTATTACATTTTAACGTATGATCTTTTTAACTAATTACATTTTTACGTAAGATTTTTTTCTTATTACAGTTTTACGTAAGATATTTTTTTATCTAATTACATTTTTACGTAACATCTTTTTTCTTATTACATTTTTACGTAACATCTTTTTATCTAATTACATTTTTACGTAACATCTTTTTTCTTATTACATTTTTACGTAACATCTTTTTATCTAATTACATTTTTACGTAACATCTTTTTTCTTATTACATTTTTACGTAACATCTTTTTATCTAATTGTGTGTGAACTAAATAAGGGGATCCACAAAAAAATAATTAGTAACTATGTTTTTCTTAGTAAAGACAATGGAAAGAGCACAATCTGTGAACTGAATGAAAAGAATTTATAATTAACTCAGTAATTTTTTGTTTTGGGAGGACGGGGGTAAAAGATGATTTACTTTTGAATTCTGAATTGTCCTTCTTCAAAACTGGTTACCAAGGCTAAAAAGGCGCATTCTACTCTACTATTTAACCATAGGTGTTGAGTCGGATAGATAAGAGGATTATTTATATTCTTCTGAAAAGTATTTGTGCGAAAGTATATGCAACGAGCTCGACTGAAATTTGAACTCGGCCCGCTGAGTTTTCGTTCCGAGTCGAGAATCATTACATCATTTGCATATCAATACTGTGTATCCCTCAGTATAAATAGAGCAAAAAAAGAAAATCTACTGTGGACTTGAAATTTTCAATATGTTGCCAGTTGCAACAGACTTCTCAAAGAGTACAGTCATTAAAATGCTCGATATGTAACTATAGCAACACAGATGAGAATACTAGTTTAAATACGTACGTGTACAACAGAGCTGACTGTTTTTGTACATTTGTCTAGCATATATTAAAACTCAAGGTGACGAAAATTAAATTTCTACTCAATAAACAAAAAATTATTTAAAGCAAAATAGAAATTAATTTTTTTAGCTGTTTTCTAAAAACGGAAAAAATTTTAAGCTTAAATGTCTCCATTTCCATATTTATAACAAAAAATCTTACGTATTATCTTCTATACTTCATTTTCTTTCCACATTTTTCTCTTTTCAGCTCTGTAAAATCCAAGGTTATAAATAGCTTTTCTGCGATTTTTAATCAAAGATTCATACGATTTTACAATTTATAGAGAATTGGGTAAAAGTTTGTAGCGTTTTTCAATTGATATCATTTGAACATGACCGAAATTTGTATATATATATATATATATATATATATATATATATATATATATTATAATTATTTTTAAATATGATTCCTTCACAAAAATGATTCCTTTTTAAAAAAAAATAATTATTTAAA